AGCGTATGACTAATTAGAAAAAGAAATCTTAGAAAGAGCTTGGATAAACCTATTTTATTTGTAAAAATAAATAAATTCTTAGTTATTTTCATCTTTAAACAAGAAAAAAAAAATTGAGGTAAAAAATAAATAGCTATTTAATTCGGTAAAATTTAATAATTTAAATAAAAACCAATAAATAATCTTTTATGGTGAAATTTCATTTTCTTACATTTTATTCGGTATAACTGAATGATGGAAAATTAACAGTCTCTATATCTGAAGTTATCCAACCATAGTCACTTTAAACATAGTTATTTCTCATTTAGAAATAGACTTCTTTGGGCATTTATAAGCTAGTTGAGAAAAAAGTATCTCTAGAATAATGTTTAAAAGGATTTGTTTTTTGAGTAGGATCAACAATTATATCAGAAAATTACATTGAGAAAAAAGAATAACCTAATTTATTCTATATATAATCGTCGGGTTTGCAGTTTTATGAGCACTTTTAAATATTAATGTAAATATATTAGAAATTCTCAGCATTGAAATCTCCTTCTATTGATAAATCGAAATCTAGAGGAAAACAATACATATTAGTATAGTCTATTTATTAATAGTAATGTAGATTATCTTAATCTGGAAAATTATCTAAAGAGCATCTTGTAATTGGTACTTAAGTTGTTATATAATTTTCAGTAGGCTTACCAGTAGTAGGATCCACCTTAGTAGTTTTATGTATATTTGTGACGGTGATGTTATAAACTTGTTCATCGATAAATTAATTAAAATTAGAATCTTGCATACCAAATGCCATTTAGAAAGTGTTTTAATTTATTGTAAATAACTTTGGGCTATCAACTTATCGCTCTTAGTAAATGACAACGGGATTGGTTCTTTAAACAACTGAGGATATAATTAAAATAAGACGCAGCGCTACTATGGATACTATAGCTATAGTGAAAATTGATCCAAAACGAGTATAGTGAGCTGACTCTCTGTTAAATCTAAAAAGAATTTAGCTGCCAAAAATATCTAGCGATTTCATGATTTTAGTTTATATTATACTTAAATTTAACTAACTAACTAATATTTTTGTTGGAATTTGATTTTTTTTTTGTTTTTTAATTATTACTCAATTTAATTTTCTCTATTAATTATTTCCACCAATAAATAAATAAATTTTCATTTAATGGACTTTTTAATTTAATCACTCAATATTGAAAATCGAAGATTCTAAACCAATTTGTAAGTGGATGTAAATGAAATTTATAAATTTATAAATACCTTT